GAGTAAAGAGAATTACAGATCTCATGGCAGGCAAGGCAAATACATATATGTATTTTAGCTGCTTTTCTGAAGTTTAATTTTAAAAAGTTATTTAGGTGTTGTCAACTCAGGTCTGAGTCCTAGCAACCTGATGAATGAGAGATGTAAAAAGAAGTAATAATTTTGCGCTAGGCTGGCAAGATCTTCCAGTGTCATCCCCCCAGCTGTAGTCAATGTGTTTAACCATCTATCAGTCGGTCTCCTGTTTCACCTGGTCCTGGTCGATCTTCACAAACATTATTTCCTTCTCCAGTGATCTCTCTTCTGACAATGACTAAAACAGGACAGTTGTAACTTCATCATTTGGGCTTCTAGCAGGGGAGGACTGACCATTTGGGAACTCGGGCACTGCCCGAGGGCCCAGGGTCAGTAGGGGGCCCCATGAGATGCCCCTGGTATCTTTCATAGGCTTTTTTGGGTGTGGTTTGAGTGTGGGCAAGGACACAGGGGCCCCATGATCCCCTATTTCCCGGGGGCCCCATGAGCTGTCAGTCCGCCCCTGGCTTCTAGTGATATAGCCAGGTTGAATTTTTCCAAAAAAATCTGTTATTTCTATGGGCTGTCCATGGCATGCATAAATTCTTTCTCCAGCACCAAAGCTCAATGAGTGTATGGACAAGTCTGATATTCATTTTGAATGTAATTTCTTTACCTTTTGAGTACTTTATCGGGAGTCTTCATTGTGTAGCTACCAAGCTGTTCTACAGAATATTTCACCACTACTATTGCTTCCATGTTTATAAAATTTCCTAGGAGATTAAAATGTTTTGCACCTTCTATTTTATCGCCATCAAGCTCAAAATCATTCATCAATCACTTTACAGTCATGGCCGAAATTGTTGGCACCCTTGATATTTCTCCAGGAAATCATGTATTTCTCACGAAACGTATTGCATTAACACATGTTTTGCTATACACATGTTTATTGATTTGTGTGTATTGGGACAAAACAAAAAAAGGGAGGAAAGAAAGCAAATTCGACATAATGTCACACAAACCTCCAAAAATGGGCTGGACAAAAGTATTGGCACCCTTTCACAACTGCGGATAAATAAGAATGTTACAAGCATGTGATGCTCCTGTAAACTCACCTGGGGCAAGTAACAGGTGTGGGCAATATAGAAATCACACCTGAAAGCAGATAAAAAGGAGAGAGTTCACTTAACCTTTGCATTGTGTGTCTGTCTGTGCCACACTAAGCATGGACAACAGAAAGAGGAGACGAGAACTGTCTGAGGACCTGAGAACCAAAATTGTGGCAAAATATCAACAATCTCAAGGTTACAAGTCCATCTCCAGAGAACTAGATTTGCCTTTGTCCACAGTGCGCAACATTATCAAGAAGTTTGCAACCCATGGCACTGTAGCTAATCTCCCTGGTCGTGGACGGATGAGGAAAATTGATGAAAGATTGCAACGCAGAATAGTCCGGATGGTGGATAAGCAGCCCCAAACATGTTCCAAAGACATTCAAGCTGTCCTGCAGGCTCAGGGAGCATCAGTGTCAGCGCGAACTATCCGTCGACATTTAAATGAAATGAAACGCTATGGCAGGAGACCCAGGAGGACCCCACTGCTGACACAGAGACATAAAAAAGCAAGACTACAGTTTGCCAAAATGTACTTGAGTAAGCCAAAAGCCTTCTGGGAAAACGTCTTGTGGACAGATGAGACCAAGATAGAGCTTTTCGGTAAAGCACTCATTACTAGCAGGGGAGGAACTGACCATTTGGGAATCATGCTACTGTTTACCGAAAACGGAATGAGGCCTACAAAGAACAAAACACAGTACCTACGGTAAAATATGGTGGAGGTTCAATGATTTTTGGGGTTGTTTTGCTGCCTCTGGCACTGGGTGCCTTGACTGTGTGCAAGGCATCATGAAATCTGAGGATTACCAAAGGATTTTGGGTCGCACTGTAGGGCCCAGTGTCAGAAAGCTGGGTTTGCGTCCAAGATCCTGGGTCTTCCAGCAGACAATGACCCCAAACATACGTCAAAAAGCACTCAGAAATGGATGGCAAAGAAGCGCTGGAGAGTTCTGAAGTGGCCAGCAATGAGCCCAGATGCTAAATCCCATTGAACACCTGTGGAGAGATCTTAAAATTGCTGTTGGGAAAAGGTGTCCTTCCAATAAGAGAGACCTGGAGCTGTTTGCAAAGGAAGAGTGGTCCAAAATTCCGGGTGAGAGGTGTCAGAAGCTTATTGATGGTTATAGGAAGCGACTGATTTCAGTTATGTTTTCCAAAGGGTGTGCAACCAAATATTAAGTTAAGGGTGCCAATACTTTTGTCCAGCCCATTTTTGGGGTTTTGTGTGACATTATGTCATATTTGCTTTTCTGCCTCTGTTTTATATTTGTTCCAATACATACAAAGGGAATAAACATGTGTATAGCAAAACATGTGTTAATGCAATACCTTTTTTGTGTGAAATACTTGATTTTCAGGAAAAATATCAAGGGTGCCAACAATTTCGGCCATGACTGTATGTATTCATGATCTTTTTCTTGTTTGTATTCAGTTCTAATCCCATCCCATGTTTAAAATGGAACACTACTAAAAACATTTTTGGGGGTTTAGTGAGGTAAATTTAACTGCACCCAGATAATTTTTTTTCTTCCTCACAGCACACACACGCACTAGTAAATGTACTGTGAAGATCTGTAATGAAGGCCATTACTTCTGTGGAAATTCTTGGACTAGTAAGCAGTGGGCCTGATATTTTCTACCTAACCAGGCCACTTATCATTGCCCAGCTTTTCCTGCCAATTGATTTAATGCTACTGAAATCAAAGGTGTTCAAAGCTTGTCAAGGAATACAACTTAGATTTTGCATAAACATATTTTCTTACTTATTTCTTTTATTAAGCTACCAATAAAGATATCAGTGCCTTTAAACTTGCTAATTGTAAATTCTGCCTTAAAGGGTGTTCCCATTCTGTAGAAAATGTGGACCTGTGATACTTGTTCATTCAAGTTACATGTTGTGGATTCTCACCCTGGAGCTAGCCTAAACCCAACAAAATCTTTCCAGCCTACATGGCTTTTTTTTTTATCTTTGATGTCCTAACCCAGAGGAATAACACCATCCGTGATCTGGCACTAGCTCTAGGGTCTTCAGTAAACACCCAACCTAGAGCGGAAAAATCCTGTGATCCAGTACTGGGGGGGAACCAGCATTGCTAATTAAGAGAAGTTCAAGCCTAGGAGATTGGTGTCCAAAATTAGCAGTTGGATCCTATTCGCTGTAATTTGTTCTTAATTCTAAATATGTCTAGTCTTACCCACAAGTAGTGGTTCTCACACTGGAAACTAGAATATGTAGCAATTTTAAAAACTAGAAAAGAAAGACAAACAATTCACTTTCTGTAAAGTTTTAAATATGGTTATTTCTCAAGTTATTATAATTAAAAAAATCCAATAATAACAAATCTGAACATATTAATGCCAGGTTCAGATTTAACCATGTTGGTTTATTAGTTTGGTTTTTACTGTCTGCTTTAGCGCTTTGACACAAGTGTTGCAGTGTTTTTTCAATGCACTAATACGCAGTATCATGCATTTTTGGTTTGGCCAGCGAGGATTGATTTCTTGCAGTGACTTCATTGTTGTGGACTTTGGAAGGATAAGTCAATAAAATGCACAATACGCGTCATAAACTTCTAGAGGCCTCAAAGTGCATGAGAATGCTAGAGAGAAGAACATGACTCATTTTTCAAAACAGTTCAACGTATTGCTTTAATGTGAACAGCATTATTGGGTAACGTGCTCTTATGACATATACTATAATGCAAAAGTATGAACAGGGTTTTATTTTGAAACCTTGTTTACTACAGGTATGTATCTATTAGAATTTATTGTACATACTGACTCTTTACTTAGGTACCTGAATGTGTCTTGATAAAACCTTATGTAATCTGCACTGTATACTGGGAAAGGCAGGGCAAATACATGGAAATGATCTGGGCTTTGTTGCTTTATTTAGTGCTCTTTATGCATGCTTATAGGACGGAAAAAGTACACATATGACCTCATTATTCATTTGTGCCATAGTCTCTATTCCTTCCCATAGATGGGCTGTCAACAGTTGGGACATAAATGGATTTTCTATGGGAGTGAATGGAAATTGTGACAGACATAAATATGAACAGGACCTTTCCAGAAGACTTTTAGTAAATCGGCTGTGTGGAAAAGATTTTGGAGAAACTGGGACAGATAAGTGTAAGCCTGGGGATGGAGAGATTATAAAAGACAAGACAACTCTATTGACCGTAAAGTAATGCTTTAAATACACTATATTGCTAAAGGTATTGGGATGCCTGCCTTTACACGAACATGAACTTTTAAAGGCATCCCAGTCTTCGTCCGTAGGGTTCAATATTGAGTTGGCCCACCCTTTGCAGCTATAACAGCTTCAACTCTTCTGGGAAGGCTGTCCACAAGGTTTAGGCGTTTGTCTATGGGAATGTTTGACCATTCTTCCAAAAACGCATTAGTGAGGTCAGGCACTGATGTCAGACAAGAAGGCCTGGTTCGCAGACTCCGCTCTAATTCATTCCAAAGGTGTTTTATCAGGTTGTGTAGGCCAATCAAGTTCCTTCACCCCAAACTCGTTTTTCCATGTCTTTATGGACCTTGCTTTGTGCACTGGTGCACAGTCATGTTGGAACAGGAAAGGGCCATCCCCAAACTGTTCCCACAAAGTTGGGAGCATGCAATTGTCCAAAATGTGTTGATATACTGACGCCTTCAGAGTTCCCTTCTCTGGAACTAAGGGGCCAGGCCCAACCCCTGAATAATAACCCCACACCATAATCCCCCCTCCACCAAACTTTATACTTGGCACAATGTAGTCAGGCAAGTACCATTCTTTTGGCAACTGCCAAACCCAGACATATCCATTGCATTGCCAGACAGAGAAATCTGATTTGTCAGTCCAGAGAATATGTCTCAACTGCTCTAGAGTCTAGTGGCGGTGTGCTTTACACCACTGCATCCGAGGCTTTGCATTGCACTTGGTGATATAAGGCTTGGATGCAGCTGCTCGGTCATGGAAACCCATTCCATGAAGATCTCTACACACTGTTGTGCTAATCTGAAGGCCACACGAAGTTTGGAGGTCTTTAGCTATTGACTCATTAGACAGTTGGCGACTTCTATGCACTGTGCGCTGCAGCATATGCTGACCCCGCTCTGTCATTTTACATGGCCTACCACTTTGTGGCTGAGTTGCTGTTGCTCCCAGTTGTTTTTACTTTGTTATAATACCACTAACAGTTGACCATGGAGTATTTAGTAGCAAGGAAATTTCACAGATGGATTTATTGCACAGGTGGCAACTTACACGGTGCCATGGCTGAATTCACTGAGCTCCTTAGAGTGACCCATTCTTTCACAAATGTTTGTAGAAGCAGTCAGCATGCCTAGGTGCTTGATAGTATACACCTGTGGCCATGGAGGTGATTGGAACACCTGAATCAAATGATTTGGAGGTGTGTCCCAATACTTTGGCAATGTAGTGTATAATAGAAATGAAAATGTTTGCTTTGATCCACTTCACTTGATTCCCCCATCCACGGTAAACAGCAGAGATTCTCAGCCAAGGTTCTGTGTAATCTTAGGTTACTCCAGAAGCTCTTAGGGATTCCTTGAGAAGTGGCTGATTGACCTTCCATCTGGTGGTGCCCAGATTCTTCCATGGCAGAGACCGTGGCAGGACACCAATGATCTTTTTTAGCTGTTGGTCAGGATGGCATTGTAAGTGACCAGCACTGCACGGCGTTCTTCCCAGTGACCACTACTAATGTAAGATGTATTCTTCCCACTGTTCCCTGAGACCTAAAAATTATTTGAAGGGTTTCGCTGGGGTAAATAGATTGAGAATGGCTGATCTACAGCATGGACTAATGCATTCTGTCAGACTACCTGAACAGTGCCACCATCTGATCCTTCAACAAAAGCTGATTGAAAAATCAATTTTTGTTGAGCCAGGTGGTACAGTCTGGGCTACCTACAGAACATGTTTTGGCCGATTCAGCAGGAATCAGACAAAATTAAAGTCATGTATGGCCAGCTTGCAGCACATGTTCAATGCCTTGTCTTTTAATCCAGGCAAATCCCCATCCCTATTTGCATATAACATCCCAAGACACTACCAGTTCAGACCTAGGTCTGGGTGATACACAGACAGTAATAGTTGATGAATGTCTCTAATTCAGGTGGTGAATATTTATAGACACAAAGGGGGAGATTTAGTAAAACTGAAGAGTGCAAAACCTGTTCCAGCTCTGCACAGAAACCAATCAGCTTCCAGCTTTTTTGTCAAAGCTTAATTGAGCAAGCTGAAGTTAGAAACTGATTGGTTGCCATGCAGAGCTGCACCAGATTTTGCACACTCCAACTTTAGTAAATCAACCCCAGAATAGACATTTGTACTTTTTAAATGTTTTACTATTACGGAGTTTACTATACTGTATACAGGATATGTTTCCTTGACTTGTGATCCTGTGATTCACATGTGGTCCTTGATTCCTTTTGATGTTGCCTGTGGCAGCATCTCTGAGCATCTGCTGTCTTATACACTTAGGCAAGAAGCCAAGCAGAATATGACTATTTTAGATAATGTTACACGTTTTTCAAGTTCTATGTTTTGAACTGTGTAAAAGTAGTTTTACTTGGATATGGGGTGTAAGCTAACAATGGTTTGGGGATCTCTAATTTTAATATCAGCAGTTTGATGTAGTCTGAAAGGCAGCAATGCTTGCATGTTTTTGCTTTTCTCTTTCTTTAGGCATCTGCAGAAAAACTCTGCAGGGGAAAAGAAAATCATTCAACCCCCATTCATTGTAATTTGAAAGCCAGATGAACATACGTAGATATATTTCATGCTGACACTAGCTTCCATATTCAAGTGACATGATGTCACCTCACATCTAATTCTCTTAACTTCTCACTTATCTACTTAGAGGAGCACCATGTCTCCCACCTGACCAGAGCCTTTACTTTCCAGGGGGTAGTTCATTTTCCTCACAAGGCAGACAAACAAAATGCTTACTCATAGCCTGTATTTTCACCTGAATGCTAGTCTTCAGCTGCAGCTGGTCATTGGCTCTCCTCTCTTAAGCCTCGTACACACGGTGAGCATATCGGACGAATGATCATCCGTTTTTGGGGGGGGGGGTTTTTGCATGCTAGTCTAATATTGAAAATTAATAGGTTTACTAAAGTTTTCAAAAATTCTCGTAAGACAGAATACAACTTCAGAAGTGATGTATTGTATTGTAATGTATTCTTTTGTTTCCGAGCATGCGCAATCCTGGTCACTCGATTTTATTCTGAATGAATATTGTACTGATTAAACGATAATCGTTCATTCTGTTATCGTACAAGACAAATTTCTGTGCTTGTCCCTTTGGAAACTTTTGCATGAACTGTTGTGAGCGGCTCTCGAAAGCTGTGTACAATGAATGAGATTATCAGACAATCGCTTGGAAAGTGGTAATTTTCGTCCAATATTCTCATCATGTGTATGAGGCCATAAACAGGACCTTCATCTAATACTAAAAAATAACATCCATCTCTTTTTTCTCCCCCAGCCTATTAGAACATGGCAGGTTTATTGGGGGGATTACCATTTTTTGTGCTACTCGCTTGCACTTCCTTGGTCCTCACTTGTGGGAGGATGATGTACGCTTGTTAACCCCCTCCCTTTGCCTGCAGCCTACTGGGAGATCGTCACACATCTTAGGAAGCTACAGGACTGGATCTCAGTGCTGACTGTATCTTGCACATATGCAATAGCGGGCCAAATGTGAGTCATCAAGAAGTGATTACTGGCTCCCGACACTAAGATGGTGGTGTGGAGGAACTGAAATCTTGAAAAGAGTTGGCTGTGTGGAAAGTAGAGCTGGATTGCTTTGACTGGTATGTGTTTCATAAAAGTCAGTAACTGCAGTACTTGGAGCTGCTGACTAATTTTCCCAAACCGGGTGAAGTTCCTCCTTATGAATGTCCCATCTCTCTCATCAGTGATGTCATCAGAAAAAAACCTATAGCTCACTCAAATGAGCTGTTGCTAAATTGAATTTTAACAGCAAATAAAGCTGATCTTTAAAACCATTCAATATACAGATAAAATAGTTATATGGAAGTTGTTTTAGCTGCCAAAGGATTTGTATTTCTTTCCAGCCATGCCTGCCATTTAAGGGATTGCGAGAGACTGATACCAAGTCAATTTCCAGTACATAACTAGTTCCAAATGCATTTAATTAACTTTTGTTGAATACATACCTACTTTAAAGTGTGTATTTTTTATATACCTACAGTTCAGCTGAAACGTTGTCATCAATTGTCCATCTAAAATTTGACAGAACATATACAATTGCTATACAAGTCCTTTTGTAGCATAAAGTTATTTTTTTTAAAGTTTTCTTTCAGTTTGTAGTTAGTGATAATTTTCTGTATGTGCCAAAAAAAGATATAAATATCACTTCCTTGTAAACTTAGGAATACTGGCATTTTTTTGGTCGCTTGAAATAAAAAAGTGTTTTAAATGATAATACATTACAAAATGGCTTGTATAACAATTGTATATGCTTGATCAAGCATTAGGTAAAAAGTGGAGATATCCTTTAAAGGAGAAGCACAACCAAAGCTCTTTTGGCTGAACTTCTGTTGTGGATTACAGTAATGCAGTTCGTTCTGCACCCCTGTCACCGATTTTTAGCTGACAGCTGGCCGAAGCCCGCTGACATCACTCAGCCGGTCCAGGCTGGAGAAAGATCCAGAGTCACTGAGAGCCTGAGCCAGCTGCTCCCTCCCCTCCACAGCCCAGCGCTCAGAGCATAAAGATTAAAAAAAGTTAAATGGAGAAACTCCTGATATATACATTATAAAGTTGACTTCTAAAAATAAATTGTGAAATACTTTGAAATTGCCTTCCAAAAACAGGTCTCATGATGCTGCAGTTCTGTTTTCTGTTTCAAAACATGCACTCTGGGAGGAAGGTTCACTGCAGCAGATCTAGTCAATGTCACCCAGCAAAATAAAATTTGTTCTGAAAAAAGTGCCAACTGCAGAGCAATAACTTAAAAGGTAAAGCACATTGATTAGGGGTAAGGATTGCGTCAGAGAACTTCCACTTTGAAGTGAACATGTGAGGACAAAAATATGCAAACTGTCATTGCTGACTTGTTTTAAAAGGTGCAGGCCCCGGAGCTGTCCTCATCTTAGCTTCACCACCTACCAGTGCTAGGACAAGATTCTCTGGCATCTAAGATGAAAATGACACTTCTCCCCCTGAGTTGGCGGAGATTGCACATCTGTATGTTCAGTTGAAGGGCAAGTACAGGGTATAAAAATGACAGCCGCTGTCCCTAGTGTTACCTCATTTTCATCCAAGTTAAACTATTGCGATTTTGTCATGTCAGAATAAATTTATAATCCTTATCAAAATTCATTCTTCCACCTGGGAATTACATTAATTTACACTCACTGGCCATTTTATTAGGTACACCTTGCTAGTATCGGGTTGGACCCCTTTTTGCCTTTATAACTGCCTTCATTCTTTGTGGCATAAGGAAATTTTGGGCCATATTGACATGAGTTACTGTTGCCTTTCTATCATCTCGAACCAGTCTGCCCATTCTCCTCTGACCTCGGACATCAAGAAGGCATTTTCATCCACACAACTGCCTCTCACTGGATATTTTCTGTTTTCTGGGCCATTCTCTGTAAACCCTAGAGATGGTTGTGCGTGAAAATCCCAGTAGATCAGCAGGTTTTGAAATACTCAGACCAGCCCGTCTGGCACCAAAAACCATGCCATGTTCAAAGTCACTTAAATCTCCTTTCTTCCCCATCTGATGCTCAGTTTGAACTTCAGCAAGTCCTCTTTGTCATGTCTACATGCCTAAATTCATTGAGTTGCTTCCATGTGATTGGCTGATTAGCAATTTGTGTTACTAAGCAATTGAACAAGTATACCTAATAAGGTGGCCTGTGAGTATAACTCCTCAATCTTTTTTCATTTTATTTATAATTTTATTCTGTGATTTTGTCTTTACAAAGCATTTTCCTAATGTCCTGCAATGAACACATACAAAATGTATTATATCGAAACAGTCTTGAAAAATAAATAAAAAATCTAGAGAATAAAGAGGATAAATAATTTAACAAAATCTCTGGGTTAATAAGGGCTAAAACTTTTAACACAACCTACACATATCACCTATTTATGATTCATTTATGATATAATTTAAGATTTATTTATGAAATAGCCTTCATTCACAAATTAAAAGAAGTGCAGGACACACTGATAGCTCAGCATTGCAAATTACCATAGAAGAGCAGCTCTCCCGCTCCTATCAGCAGAGCTCTGCTCTCGCTTTAACAGCTGTTTGCTGCACTTTATTTAGCCAGAG